AGAATCGATATCCTTTGCCTCGCATTGACGATCTATTCGACCAACTTCAAGGTGCGAACTACTTTTCGAAAATAGACTTAAGATCCGGGTATCACCAATTACGGATTTTGGAGGAAGACATTCCCAAGACCGTGTTTAGAACTCGTTATGGTCATTACGAGTTTATAGTGATGCCATTCGGATTAACGAATGCACCTGCTGTGTTCATGGACTTAATGAACAGAGTGTGTCGTCCATTCCTGGACAAATTCGTCATAGTCTTCATTGACGACATCCTTATCTACTCAAGAAGCAAAGAGGAACATGGCCAACATCTTCGTCAAGTATTACAAACCCTTAGGACAGAAAAACTCTATTCAAAGTTTTCAAAGTGCGAGTTTTGGATTAGGAAGGTTGAATTCCTAGGTCACGTGGTCAGTTCAGAAGGAATACACGTGGACCCTTCCAAAATCAAAGCAATTGAAAACTGGCCAGCACCCAAAACACCTACAGAAATCCGACAATTCTTAGGTCTTGCTGGCTACTATCGCAGATTCATCCAAAATTTCTCCCGAATCGCTAAACCGCTTACCACCCTGACACAAAAGGGTGTAACTTTTAGTTGGGGAGAGAAGCAAGAAACAGCATTCCAAACGCTCAAAAAAGCCTTGTGCAGTGACCAATCTTGTCCCTACCCGAAGGGACCGAGGACTTTGTAGTGTACTGTGATGCTTCAAATCAAGGGCTTGGGTGTGTTCTTATGCAGAGGGGAAAGGTTATCTCCTACGCCTCAAGACAGCTAAAGACGCATGAGGTCAACTATACAACACATGACCTTGAGCTAGGAGCGGTGGTGTTTGCTCTGAAGATCTGGAGACATTACTTATATGGCACGAAATGCACAATATTCACGGACCATAAAAGTCTCCAGCATATCTTCGATCAGAAAGAGTTGAACATGAGACAACGACGATGGGTGGAGCTACTGAATGACTACGATTGTCAGATTCTTTATCACCCTGGTAAAGCAAACGTAGTAGCTGACGCCCTTAGCAGAAAAGAATACTCGGGACGTCGAGTAAAGTCGTTGACCATGGCAATCCATTCACATCTGTCCACACAGATCAAAGAAGCTCAACTTGAAGCCTTGAAACCCGAAAACGTGGCAGGTGAAATCCTGAGAGAAATGGATAAAAACTTCGAACTCAGGGATGATGGAATCTGTTATTTCATGAACCGGATCTGGACACCAAAGTTCGGTGATTACAGAGACATGGTTATGAATGAAGCTCACAAAACCCGATACTCCATTCATCCAGGTTCAGACAAGATGTATCTGGACCTTAAGAAACTATACTGGTGGCCTAACATGTAGGCCGAAATCGCTACCTTTGTGGGCAAGTGCCTTACTTGCGCCAAAGTCAAGGTAGAGTACGAGAAACCTTTAGGTTTATTACAACAACCTGAAATCCCTGAATGGAAGTGGGAGCAGATTACAATGGATTTCATAACCAAATTACCCAAGACTTTGGGTGGTTATGATACTATTTGGGTAATCGTCGACAGATTAACCAAATCCGCACACTTCTTGCCAATAAAAGAAGCCGACAAGATGGAGAAGCTAACCAGAACTTACCTCAGGAATATTGTTAGACTGCATGGTGTACCAATATCTATTATTTCGGACCGAGATAGTAGATTCACCTCTCGTTTCTGGCAGTCTTTACAAAACTCTCCGGGAACTAGGCTGGACATGAGTACAGCCTATCATCCACAAACCGACGGACAAAGTGAGAGGACGATTCAAACATTAGAAGACATGTTGCGAGCTTGCGTGATAGACTTTGGAAAGGCATGGGATATTCATTTACCCCTTGTTGAATTCTCTTATAACAACAGTTATCACGCTAGCATAAAGGCTGCTCCATTCGAAGCCCTCTATGGCCGCAAGTGCAGATCCCCTCTATGATGGGCTGAGGTGGGTGACACGCAGCTAGCTAGAGGCCAAACTCCTGACAGTGCTCTCACTGGTCCGGAAATTATTCGAGAAACTACTGAGAAAATTGTACAAATTCGGGAGCGACTTAAAGCTTCCAGAGATAGACAGAAAAACTACGCTGACAAAAGGAGAAAACCCTTGGAATTCCAGATTGGTGACCGCGTCTTGTTAAAGATCTCACCCTGGAAGGGCATGATACGCTTTGGAAAGCGTGACAAATTAAATCCAAGGTACATAGGACCATTCGAGATTCTTGCCAGAATCGGTCCTGTAGCTTACAAACTTCGACTACCCCAAGAACTAAGTAACATTCATCCTACCTTCCACGTTTCAAACTTGAAAAAGTGTCTATCCGACGAGACTCTTGTGCTCCCACTCGAGGAAATCGAGTTAAACGAGTGCCTCAACATTGTGGAAGAACCCGTAGAGATTCTAGACAGGGAAGTTAAGAAAACTAAACAAAGTCGTATCCCGATAGTGAAGGTTCGCTGGAATGCAAAATGGGGACCTGAATTCACTTGGGAGCGGGAGGATCAAATGCAACAGAAATATCCACATCTTTTTCCCTAGTCTATCTGTAATGCTAATTTCGGGACGAAATTCTCTCTAACGGAGGGGGGGGGGGGGATAATGTAACAAACCGTTATTTCAAACCTATGTAATAATGTAGGTCAATTTGTAATTCTTTTTAAAACAATAAAGAGAAATTTTAGCATACTGTGTATATTTACATAATTGACCCTCAAAAATAAATTATTAAACAATCTCGATTGGGATGAACCAAGTGATAGAGATTGTAACAAGGTTTCCAAAAACATAAAGAACACTAAAATCCGAGTTATAACGAAGAAGTTATGACCAATCGAAGATCCGCGACAAAACCGGCAAAACACTGTTCAGTGTAAAAACTGAATTTTCAATAAAAGGCTTTTTAGCCTTAACAATCTAAATGAAAGTTGTAGTTTATGTTAAACCGAGAACTTTCATAAAAAGAACGGCAAAATCTGACTTCGTATGAGGAAGTTACGATTTTTCTAAGTTTCAGTATAGCAGTGTACAGCTAAAAACTCGAAATATTGATCGAGTGATTTTTAGCCGACACAACCTAAACGAGAATTGAAGGTCTCGTCAATAGTAGTACAATGGTAAAAAGACAGGCAAAAACGGACGTCGGATGAAGAAGTTATGAATTTTTAACGGATTTTCTGTCCCGGTCTGTTAAAAATAATAATATTAGAAATAAGTTCAAAATCAGCCGACGAAGTCTAAACGAAATTCATAGAGTATAATATTACCTACGCGTGCATATAAAGAACGTCGAAAACAGAGCTCGTATGCGAAAGTTATGATTTTCGCAAGTTTTTGGCACAAAAATCAAGAAATATTGAAAACCGGGCAATTTCGCAAGGCTGACCTTCGGCCACGTCACCCTTGCATGCGAGCGAGGCTTCCACGTGTCACCATCGGATTGGACCGAAGTTCGCCGTGTCACCATCTGATTGGACCGAGACCGAGGTCCAATAAGCAGCTGACAACCTTCGCAGGAGACACCCCCTCGGCACATGCCCTCTTCCCATTGGACCGGAGTCCGGTCCAGTCCGAAACCAACACCTCCGAGCCACCTGTCCGAGCCTCGCCCCGTGTCCCCTTTGCATGTCCGACGCGTGTCTAGCTGACTCACCCTTCGGTCCGAGGCTTCGGCCTATAAAAGCCATGCGAGCCCTTCCGAGAATTTTACACTTTTCACCCCAAATTTCACACACTTTCATATTTTTCACTCTCACAAACTCACATACAACCCCTAAAGCCCCGGTATCCTATTTCAAACCCTAAGCAAGCTTCGAAGCCCCGATATTCCCAAGAAGTTAACCTCTCTCCAGTCAAAACTCTACCCGATTTGAGCCGGTTTGTCGTCAAATAAACTCCTTTCCGTGAAACGAAACGTTGTCCGAATCACCACCTATCAAGTGAGTTCATACCCCCGTATTTTCATAATTTCTACTGTTTTAAGGGGGGAATACAAGCATAACACAAGAACCTTGTGTTATAAAATCATGATTTCAAATCATGATAAAACGACATTAAATCATCAAAAATACTCAAAACATTAAACTCTTTTATAATCTTAACTTTTTCCCCAAAATTCATATTTGTGTGTATATCTATATCTATAATATATTATATATAATATATATATATATATATATATATATATAATATATATATATATATATCTATACTAGTAGCGTACCCGCGCGATATGGCGGCGGCGATTTGTTTTATTCCGGCGATTAATTTCCGAATAAAAATTAGTGTCATTTCGGTGGTCGTCAAATCGTTTTTTTTCGATTTATTTCATTCTGACGATTTGTTCTTTACAGTGATCAGCCGTCTCTAGACGGGCAACAAATAGTAAATTTTGTCTATTATTCTTTATCTGACAGCAAACGACAATTAGTTTCATTTAACGAATAATGTTTTCTTTCAATATGCTATTAAAACTTTGTAGTTCAGCCTAAAAACAAAAAAACATTATATTTTTTATTTTAAATAGATTATTATGTTAATTTTATAAAAAATAGTTATATAGGTTAAATATGAAAGTATATTGCTATTATAGTTTAAATATAAAAGTGTGTTGTTATACGCAAATAATTGCTGGGCGGCGATTAGTTTTTGTTAGGTGAAAAGTTGTATATGATAATAAACAGAAACCATTTCCTCCAATATGAAAGTTTTTCTTTTGTTGTTCAGACTTTTTAGAATGAATCAAAATATGTCTTCTGTTTTACCAATTCATAAGTCAAATGCTTACAATCATTTAATGTAAGATAATTGTTATTTTTAATTATTTCACAACAATTACGAAAAAAATTATTTCATCACATTCATAATCAAATAAATAGTTTATTTCATCATCCGTCACATTTTGTTTTTCCATGCACTTAATTCCCACATCAAACACTTTATCTACAGGTTCACCATTCACGACTCCCCATTTGTTTGGCTTTTACCTTAAATACTATTTGCTGAAAATATTAGAAAAATAGAAAAACAAATTATTAAATTGTGTTAAAAAGTAGATTGCTATTTCATAAATTAACCATAGCTTTGGAACTGGTGTCCAACGACCTTCACTCGATATCCTTTCAATCGAACTGTTTCAAAACCCTCAAAATTTCCAATCCAAACGAACATTCATTTTCACTTTTCTATAATCAAATTAACACCAATATAAAAACAAAATGTATGTTAGTGGTAATTTGTTTTCAAGTATACAGTTTTCTTTATTATAGTGTGACCCATTTAGAGCGTGTGCAAGGGAGGGGGCTACTGGTGTCTTGATGTTATACTTGAAAAAGATGTCCATATAAAAAAAATACTTATGCTCATTACCATTTAGCTTTAGGTTTCTCTAAGCATTCCAAGTCTCTTACATCTATCTTGACCTGCAATAATAACCATTGACAAATATGAAACAGCAAGAATGAAGCATGTAAAACAATCAAATTCACCAGCCTGTAAAATTTCTATAATGTATTTAAAATTTATTTCAACCAAAGTTGGCAAAGGAATTAGTTAAAAGACCTTAAAATGTAAACAAAACTTTGGAAGTCGAACTGTAGTCTTGCTACTTCATGAGACTGGAAAAATAAAATAAAAAATAATGAATTATTTTATGCCAAAATTTAGGCCAAAATAGATTAAAATCACATAAATAGTTAACAAATGAAGAAATATATCAACAATGAAGAGGGTAATTTCCAAGATATGTTGAGGGTGGTTTTCACGGGACAAATATACAACCTATGTATCGACTTTTTATCATCATCATAAATAGATTACCAAAAACTACCAAGTCTTCATAACAAAAGATGGAACTGGAACATATCTGCAAAAAAATCCCAAATAGTCATTTTCTAACAAATTTATAACAAAAAAAATTGGCTTTTTATATGAAATTATGAGTTTAAGATGTACCTCCACCTCCACACACAGAAAAACCCCTTTGTGTGACAGCCCAATCTTTAGAGATTTAGAGAGACATACAATGGTTTGTAAGTGCTGGGGATTGTAACATGGGCCTCGATTGTAGTTGTAAACCTCAATCTATTCAGGTATATAAGTATTTAGACTTATAGCCACATGTCAATCAAAAAACCAAAGCGAAAAAATTATTCAAACCCGTCATCATTCCATAATAAGGATAAATGAAAAAAAAAAATCATATATTCATATGTTACACCACCCTACTTTCGTATCTTTATGATATAGCAATCCACTTTCAATATTTTTCTCAGTCACATATTTTTCTTAAAAAACTTAAAATTCCACCCAATTTGTACAATCTGTAGCACTGAAACCACGTTAAAGAACAAAACTATAAGAGGAATTACTTGTGCCATTGTTAACACCTAATCACTTTGAAAACACACATCCAAACACATACAAAACTAAAAGGACACCAAAATCTGCTACCTAAATGAAAGCAAAAAATGAAGAATTAAAATTATGGCATGTTTTCTCGCCTAGATGAATAAATCCTTACCTCGTAGTATCTTATATTTTATGCCATGTATTCTCGGCCACCCCATTCCATATTCCTGAGATAAAACAAAGGCCAACAAAATCCAGATATGTGAGTAAAAAAAATAATTGATCCATTTACTCTGAAACGAAAAAAAACCTACAAACCCAAATATCCTGCTTATCTTCATCCCAGATTATAAAAAACATTTAGGGATAGAAAAATCAAAGGATTGAAATAGGAAAGGGTTTAGAAAGGGAGAGATCAAAGGAAAAAATATTACATGTGATTTGCTGAAAGCGAGCACGAGATGAAGGAGATACGGGAGCGATGGTAATGCTAGGGATTGGATGTTGTCCCTTGTCTCTCTGTTTGTTAACCAAACGGACCATGACCATGTAGTATCAACGTTCCTGCAAGTAAGGTTAAAACCCTAATCAGAAAAAGATAAAATTGATGATGGTGGTGTCACGAAATATTTCTAAGGAATACCATTATAATTTTTACCCTGTGACTCGCGTATGAACTTGATGTTCCCATTTGCTTTAAGTCTCGGTGAACTTGAATAACATTAGAAAAATACCAAAGTTAACGGAGAACAATATACTCAATGTTTTAACTTGCTCGAAATATGAAATACCAGCTAGTGATAGTGCATGGCTGCGACAATGGTAGTAGCAATTTCAAGGTGAACGTTGGTTACCGGAGATGTTGGCTGGAAAGGACGGTGATGGCTGTAGTGTTGGGTGCGATTATGGCATAAATGTAGTCGCCGGTAAGAGAAGCAGGAGGCAGCACAATGGATGTGACCGGTTATCCGTGTACAGTGCTTTAGATCTAGGGTTGTTGAAGGCGACGATGGTTTTAATAGTAGAGCTGGTACCGGTGGCGGTAACCGGTAGTAGTGAAGGCAGAGATGTTAACCAGTATAACTGGAAGCTGTAGCGATGGTGTTGGCTCTGTTCGTAATGGGAGTAAAGTTTTTCAGAGAGGATAAGGGAAAAAGAGGGATTTAGAGAGAGAATGAGAGGGGCTTTGAATTAACGTTGTGAATGGTGGGTACCTGATGGTGGATGTTGCAGAAGGTGGAGGTCATTGTGAGTGAGATGGTGGTGTGGACGATGGCGGCTGGTGTTAGGGTTACAAAAGAGGAGGAGCATCTTTTTATCTTTCAATTTTTGAAAATGGAAATGATGAGTGGGTGGGGACTGGGAATAGGGATTAAAGGGATGGACCCCGTGTTTGATTATATTTTAGTTTGAATTTTCCCGCCCAAGCTTATGCATGTGGATGTTGTACCTCTTAGTTTTAAAATTAAGGTATGCATTTGGTACTTGTATATTATCCACCCATTATAAGATGGTATATATATATATATATAAATAAGATTTAAAAGGCTTAGGACTGATAATTCATTATGAGTCTTTTTTCTTGTTTGGATGTGGGCTTATATTACCGGTTATTTATCCGAGTGTCGTTTAAATTTTACTTATATATAAAATTGTGTATGTATATAAATATAAAAGTTATTTCATCATTTCAAATACCTTTGTAACATGTTGAGCAAGGGGTTACATGCTAAAAACAGTTAAATACCGATTCATAAAGTACATTTAAATTATAATAGGTATAATTTATGATACATAGAACAATAATTCATACTAGAATACATTGTTTTACAAGAAACAAGGGTTTTGATTCAGAACAAATCAAGGATTTACACTTATCAAATACATGTTCGGAATACTAATTCAAGAACATACTATCAATCATTTATTTCAGAATGATTGGGTTTTCATGACTAATAGACATGTAACGTTTATATGCTTTTTATGAGACATTCAATTCAGGTTGTTTAATTCATTTTAGACAACCAAGGTAAAGTCCTGACATTATAACCAGAATCTCCAGCCCGGGGATCGAAACAAGTTGTATGTAGATCTATATCGAGATTGACAACCTCGCACTCAGGCTGCTAGCTACAGTCAGGCATACACGCCAATGAGTGGCAATTGTTATCAACAGTTTAAACGTCCATAAAGCGTTTGTTTCAGGCCATCATGTCATAGTATAGTTATAATAACTCATTAAAAAGATATTAACAATACGTTAGTGTATAATCAACTAAACGTAAGTACACCTTCAAAGTATCAGTTTTACAGTATACAAACTACAATGGTTCAATACAGTTTTCAATAACAGCTGGTGAAGCCAGGCACACTCTCAGTTACAAGTTTCTCATAAAGTAATACAAATACAAAACATTGATACAAAGAGAACAGTTTTATGGGAATAAAACTACTTTTCATATACAACAGAAAATATAGGATTTTCTGGAACAGTTTACATATGCAAGATACAGAGACACCCTTTTTAAACATAAACACTTATGCACTCACTCAACTTTATGTTGATACTCTCTTTACAAATTACTTGTATTCTCAGGGAAATAATACACAGGTACTCCTCGAGCCTTTTGAGAAGATGGAGCTACTTTGAGTCATATCTTCTTTTGTATAACTATTTTGGTTCAGTATACAATGATTGAACACATGTAAATACTTATATTTTTTTTAAATACAATGGTTGTTTGTACTTTGATTACTATGATGCATGTGTTGTGATACTACAAATGAAGTCCTCCACCCCCGGACGTTTCCGCCGTCTGGTTTGGGGGTGTGACAATTACCATCTAAGTATTCATGGAAAATCATATTCATACACTGTGACGATGCAAAGTGATTTATACAATAATACAAAACTATCATACTATGTAAATTGGAAAACATCGGGTTTTCCGGGGAAACGACATTTTTCACTTCTACATACAACAACTACAATACAAAGAACAATTATGAAGAACATTCACTTGTATATGTTTTGAAATCACATACATATGCACTTATGGGATCATCACATCTTTTTCGTAAACAGTTTTTGTTACAAAAAATATCGGATTTTATGGGTTTTACAAACAATACAAACTAGTTTTATACCAAACATGCTTATGAATTCACCAACATTATATATGTTGACCGTTTTCAAAATAACTTGTATTCTCAGGAAATCGTTAGACTGAAGAAACCTCCAAGTGTGTTTCACGAATTTCTTTTGTGAAATGTTAATCATCAAACAATTTATGTTTTGAAATATGTAATGTAAACAATGTAGTTGATGTGAACAAGGTCAGTTGTAATGTATTAATGCATGGTGATGTTTATGTTAT